ATTGTAGAAGATGAATACATCGAAATTGAAGAAGATTTAGATGAAGATGTGGATGATGACCAACCAACACATGTGAAAGCTATTGCAAGAGATGTTGAATATCTCATTGAAACCACATATGAGACCCAATAGGATAGGGTCACATTGAATGAGTATATGAGACGTTTACATAGAATCCAAGCTCCTGAAGGTCACGACACACTCCACAAGGATTTGGTTGAGCATGTATGGCACTGAGAAGGTGAACGTTGATGATGTTGGTTGAGCATTTATGTAATAATTTTAAGTGTACTATGTTGGTATTTTCTAGTAATAAATTTAAGTGTCTTCTTGTGCAAATTGCACGCTTCCTTTCCACAAAGTGTACACTTTGTTGATAATCTTCCACCGATCATAAACACCACCAGTTTCCCTTCAACCGACATTGGAGTTTTCATGGAACTTATCAACGATTTTACCCCACAAAACCTTTCTATTTTGATTCGTGCCGACGGCACCATCTTCGCTAATAGAAATCCATGCCAAACATAAAGCAATATCTTTGTCAAATGTCCAATTACGACCTCTAACTTGCTCTTTTGCCATCTTGAAAATTTGGAAATGAGAAGAAATGGTAGAAAGAAAAATTTGAAGAATTGTAGGAGAAAAGTGAGTTTTGTGTGGATGTTCGAACAAATACATAGGTATTTGTAGAGTTTTTGGGTGAATTTTGAGTTAAATAATTTTTTTAAAATTATTTTCGCCGTTAGATTTAAATTTGGACCATTAGATTTTTATTTATTTATTTATTTATTATTATTATTATTATTACCGTTATATTTGATTATATTTGATCTAAGCTGTTAGATTCAATAAGTATATAAATATAAAACTAAAAAAAATAAATTGAACCTGGACCGTTGGATTAACCAATGGCCCATTTAAATCTAGTTGTTGGTTCGAGAAAAGTAGTCGTTGGGCTATAGTACCGGTTGACATGTGGGGGGACAACCCTACGTGATTGGGCCTCGGCCGGGAAGATACCTTGCGCGTGCAGTGCGTTGGGCGACTCGGTTTTGGGGTCTGGGCTTCACAGCCCACTTTTCACTCTCACCCATGGGCCCCACTTCAATTTGTGGGCTAAAAACTGGCCAGTATTTGGCCCCCTTTTTAAGTTTTAGGTTTAGGTCTTGGGTTGGATTTGGGAAGGGGAAGAGAAAATTTGGGTTTTAGCCCAGGGTTGGAGTGGTCTTATTAAATAAAATTATAGGGTGGTTTTTGGTTAAAATGCAAACTTTTGAAGTTATTTTCATTAGTTTTCCTTATATAAAATTGGTGATAGGGAATTTTAACTTCGTTTGGACCTAGCTAGTTTTATGGCTGAAATATGGGGATGATGGATGTTACCGGCATAAGATAGACAAACACTTAATTAAATACCATTGCTGTATGGCAGGTTTTCTTCACAAATAGATGGATGCAATTTTTTATTTTATTTTTTGGTGTAGGTGATAGATTGTGGGTATTTTCCTAAGTTGGTCCTAAGCATTTCATTTTCCCGGTGGCTGGATATGCTTCTTGGATTTCATTCTCAAATTAGGGTACAAAAATCCTACAAAAGAGAAGATGAATAGGAACCAGAATAAGTATAGCATCGTGCATCGTGCATGAAAATGACAACAGTTAGTGAGTGGTTTCCGAACATCTACAATTTGTTTCCATTTTCGTTGTTTTTTTGTTTCCTTGTTGGGTCAGGAACCCAGGAAAAAGATAGGGCAACAAGTTATCAGAACGTTCTGTGTTAATAATACAATGATATTTATAATTTTCTATATTTATTTGTATTATTGATATAGAACGCCACAATAACAGTGTAAACATATAATATAAATGAAGAAAATTAAGGTTTCGCCATAAAATTCATTAGGAACATAACAAGCAACTCAATTACTTATAAACACATAAAATACATTTCTTTCTTCAATATAGTGATGCTCTCAACAATGAGATTGATGCTCTTATAACAATCCATTCGTCGTGTATCGTGTCTATAGGCACACAAAAAGAAAATCTAAAAAATCCAAAGCCACTTGTGGGACTTTGTTCTCATGCTTCTTGCACCTTCACAGTAGAACACGACAGGCTCGCCCATCTGCCCACTTGCCCAGATATGTGCCTTTTGGCGCAGCGGCATGAAGCCACAGAAAAAGAATTTTAGGTTATCTTCTCTCTTTTGGTTATTAGCTTTTTTTTAGTTGCTTTTGTTAGGGTTTTTGTGTAAATTAGTTAGGTATTATTATGTACGTGAGGTTCACCAAAAAACAGTAAGTAATGAGAACTAACTAACTAGATTAGGGTTTTTGAGTCTTGGACAAAAACAGTGAGTCTACCAAAGCAATCCATTAGGGTTTTTGAGTATTGGACCGAAATGGATGGAGGATTTTTTTGGGGGGTAAAAAATAGGGTAACTAACAAGACTGAGCTAGCTTTGAGTCATTGTCCACTAATGATCTATGTACGAACTTGAGTCAGTGTATGATGTGTATCCCTCCTATTTTAGATAAGCACCAAACATCGGCATCCATGACTTTTGTTTAATTTAACTGGACTCGTTCTCTTCAGACAACTAGTCTGCAGAGTAAGATTTTTACATATTTATTAAGGAATGCTAGTCATCGTCTCAAATGAACTTCCTCATTTTATCTTCAACTTTCATTTCATTTTCATGATGCAATTTCACAAGAAAATTGAAAACTTTTTTTTTTTTTTTTTTTTTTGTAGAAAAGCCTTTAAAGATATCATATCTGCAAAATCTCATTTGAGCTAGTAAACAAAGAAATTAGGCAAAAAAATGGGCATACTAGTTTGGTTCGTCTTGCTGTTACGGCGAGTCATGGGCTCAAATGGGACATTGAAGTCTAAATCTACAATATTTGGGTCTTGCTCCCGCTATGTTTTCCCACATGTTCTTCGATCCTTTTAACCATATGTTTTATATTAAATTTTGATAATGTTAATTGAACATTTAGATAACTTCTAATTTGAATGATTTTTTGCAAAGTTGATCATAAAGACTAACCTAACATTTAGGCGGTTTCGATCCTCAAACAATATTAAGAATCAAAAAGAGTCGAGCAAGTAAAATGAGAAAATCTAAATGAGAAGGTTGCTAGTATTTCTCTTATTTATTTAGGACATGTATTAAGTGGAGGATGGGGGTGCTGCATCTGTCTTGTCATTTGGACCTTGTATATCATGCTCCACATTGCATATTTGCAAATTAATCAACAAAAGGGTTTTGTGTGTGTGTGTGTGTGTGATGCGTGAAAAGAAAGCAAAGCATATTAATAATACATAGTGATTGCATATCACAAACTCCAATTAGTGTTTCAATTATTTTCTATAGTTGCTTTTTATGAGAAGAAATATCGTCTATTCGCATCCAACTAGCCATGCTTTTGACTTCTTATTAAGCAATGATCATATCCAAAAACCCATTATAATAACTTAATTATCTTGACTTGACGAGCCTCAGAATGATATATTATTCGTAACACGTTAATCAGTTGATGAATATGTTGTTTAATTTTGATTATTAATAAGATGAGTAATGTTAAGGAGATTTCATATGATGTGGTTGTGAACGATTAAATTATTATTTAAGTGTTGATTAACGTGTTTATTTTCTACTAGTTACTGGTAACACATCACTTGATTTATAAATTTAGTTTACCTAACATTATCCTAATATAAATACTACCGTTTTGCATCAAAAACTTAATTATCTTTATCCATCTTCATCTCAACCATATCCTTATCATTTCAAGATTCTGATTCTTTAAAGCAAATTCATACGCAATGCATGACAAAAACTACAGAGATATGGTATGACATGAATGTACGGAGCACACACTTAATCTGTACTAGAAAATAAAAAACTTTATCTTGTCATCATCATCATCATCATCACCATCATCATCATCATAATTAACTCTACTTTTTCATAGGGAGGGCAGATTCCTCCCACTTCTTGTGACCTCCTGTGGCTTCATATTTGTGTGGTCACGGTTAAGTCGCGTCAACATTTTATATTACTATTCATTTTTGTCTTATAAAAATGTTAACGTGGCTTAATCGTGACCACACAAAATAGAAGGGCACGGGAAGTGGGAGGGCAGAAAATCTGCCTCCTTTTCATAGATCCAATACCAGCTAATTAAAGACAAATTAGAGCAACTCTATTCTTAAAAAATGAGATGGCTGAAAGTTTATTTAATCCACCTAAATGAATTGTAATTGACTCCAATGAACAGTAATTGACCAAATGCATTTTCATTCCTAAAAAATAAGTTGAGCAAGAGTCTGGTCAATTCGTATTAAAATATTATTAATTTTTTTATAAAATAATAAAAATTAATTTTATTTTTAATTTCGTATAGAATTTTTAACTAATCTTGTCACGTCACGTGTCATTTTCTGAAAGTACAATTTTTGCAAGAGATGGTTAGGTGTGTGTGTGTGTGTATATATATATATATAATCTTTTTTTTTCTATATTTTTAAATAATTTTTTATTAAGTTAATTAATCTGGACCAGTTGGATTTCAAAAGAATGAAATCCAACAATCCAAAAGTGGACACGTGGCCCACGGTAAGATTCTAACTTTTTTTTTTTAATGCTGGAACGCGCACCCACTCATGAATATATCCCATACGCCAGTGGCAAAAAAAAAAAAAAAAAAAAAAAGAAATTCACGTAGCTGACATCAGCCTAGCATCATGTAGGCCAATCCCTTACTCAACCCATTATGTGATGGGCTCAAAGCTAGCCTCTATTTTGGGCCAGCCTATTGGGTGGGGTGGAGTGAGTTTTTGAGGAGACTGGTTTAAAAAATAGACTTTGAAGTAGCACATTTATTAAGGGTGGAAGTGCTCTTAAGAAAGCTAAAAAAGCTACAATCATATCATGCATGAGATGGAATTATTCGATACAATAAATTAATGCTTAAGAAGTGTCCATGATACTGACAATTAATTTCTTTATTTTACACTGAATAAATTAGATAACTACTGCATAAGAAAATTTTAATGTCTAAGCCTCTAGTGAGTTGCAGCTGCAAGTGCTTCAAGAACCCTAAGGCTTCCAAGATGTGGAGGAACCTCAGCTATCATATTGTAAAGAAACTGGCCAATGATCATAGCGCTTGGCCCCGACACAAGCTTTTTCCAGGCCTCGTCGGCCTCCTCGCCGCGCTTTCGGAACACCTCCGTGGCATCCAACGGGTGCAGATTCCACCCTTTGATATTTTTAAGTCTATGAATCTTCTCCAGTTGTCGACATGCCAATTTGCACGTATTGTCCTTAATTTCGTCCACTGCTTGTTGTAGTAACCGAGCACGAGTTTCTTCATCCAAAAATAGCCCATACCTGAAGTACTTATCGAATTCAGGGACCCCTATTGCTCTTCGAATCCCTTTCGTGTAATCTGCATTGGGATCAAAGTACTCTCTCGCCTCATCCACCATTCCGTTTTGAACCATGTGGTCTACCCGTTTTGACACAAAAGAGTGCAGAACGGGTGTAGACACATCTACCCATAAAAAGCAACATTCATACTTGGACCGAAATTTATAGTCGTAATCATCGATCAACGCCTCGATGTATGAGTTGGAACCTCCAACGATGATTGGAAGCCGATCACGGCCTAAAATGGATTCAATGGCAAGTGAGGTTAGGTCACAAAAATCCCTGGCTGTAAAATCTTCATGAGGATCTAGCATCCCTAGCAAATGGTGCGGTACACCATGTTGCTCTTCTTTGGTTATTTTGTTGGTGACTATGTCAAGGCCTTCGTAGACTTGCATTTTGTCGGAGTTTATGATTTCTGCCGGGAAACAGGTGGCTAGGTCGATGGAGAGCCTTGACTTTCCGGTCCCTGTTGCTCCCATTACGATCACCACCTTCTCCTTCTGCCGGTGAGGATTGAACACGTCCATTTTATGATTATGGCCACTAGATGGAACATGTAGTAATGTTTGTATTTGTTTGCACATTGGCACCATGCTGGTGATGATCAAATACTTTATCTGCAAAAAGTTACAAAACATAAGGAAAACATAAAATTATGAAATCAAAACTTAAAACAAATCAAATTTGATCCAATTTTTGAGTCTGGTTTTAATATATTTACCTGTAAATTGGTTTATGAGATGCACCGGGACGAAGAAGCTAGAGGGATGTTGGCAGACGGTAATACGGCACACGCTTATTTGGCTCTTTTGATATAACTAGTTAACTAGAGAGAGAACTGATGTCATAAGTAACCAAAGTTATGAGGATACATAAATTTTCTCAAAAAGTTGAAGCAACTTCTTCACACCTCGTGTAGGAAAGGGGAGGTTTTCAATGCTTATATACGAGGAAAATTGGCAAGTTGGTCAGTTGGTTATGAATTTCGAATTACAAGTAGTCAACTTTAAACTTGTGGAGGTAGAAAAAAAAGGAAATTAAAAGAAGTGGTCTTGCAATATATTCCCTCCACAAAGTTTGATATATTTATTGATTTGATTTGATTTGATTGCTAGCTGCATATATAATATAGCTTTCGGGTTGCATATATAGTAATCAAAGTCATGAAAGAAAACAACAAACAATAACGAAAGCATGATTAGAGTTGCATATACGAGTTAGGCTAGTTGAACAAAGCAGTATGAACAATGTCTTTATATTCGATTTTGACGTCACTCTTATTGATTAAAACAGTTCGTGCCAAAACGAAAAACGAAAAACAAAACAAACATGATCCATGGTTTGATACATGAGTAGTAGTGGTAGTAGTACTGTAAGGCAAGTACCACTTCAAATTCATTGCAGCAAGATTTTGATTCTTAAAACGACATCTGATAGTTACGCTAATTGGACTCAACTGTAAATGCTTGCATTTTAATAAGCAAGATCTGATTCTTCGCATACAGTGGATTTGACAAAACCAATGTCTGGTCTTGAATCCGAATATAGAAAAAATAAAAAATAAAAATAAAAACCTAATGTAATTTTCAATGTGATTAAATCCCAAGGGCTTACTAATTAGGTTTATATGGCACCTAAAAATTAATTAAATATATGTATTACATACAGGGAAGGGAAGAATTTCATTTGACAACGGAATAAAAAGAACCAAATTAAATTAAATAAGTTTTCCAATATCAGAGTGTCGTTTTAGTGATGGTCAAATCAATGGTCACTTTTCTCATTTGGGATGTAATAGAATAACTCACTTTATTCTGTAAAATTTTCTTGGGACTCCACTGAATCTACCTAGCTTGGTCGTATTTCGATCACAAAGTAATTAACTTGTAAAAGTTAAATATAATATTACAAGGGTAGCTAATTGATCATTAGGTTCCATTAAATAAATTCTGTTTAGAGGGTTTTGATTCCCTTTCACTCTCAAAAAACGAAAAATCTTGTTAACTTGGGTCGCCATGTAGAATGTTTGATTCGTAGAACTTTCTAATTATGATGTAACATATATACATGAACAGATTGCAGGATAGTGAGGATAATTATAGTGAGGATAATTATGATCTTTGGCATGCATTTCAAATGATTTGTCTAATCATATATATGATCAGTATATAGGATAGGGTTTGCTAGATTGGTTTCCACCAAGAGAAACTGAAAACGATTTGGTATGGAATTTTTGGGTTATGTCATGCTTTGATTAGTACAGGCCAATAACAGTTAATCACTAGAAATCGACTAATAAAATTATAAAGAGAAATAATGTCACGGATAATCATTCACACACAAGTGATCTGAATTGTATTCATAGTTTAGACCATCTTCAACCCTTGAGAATAAAGTTTAAAAATTTTAAGCCATATCCCAGAAATTATTTTTCTCCTCCAACCCTTATGACTTAAAATTTTAACCCAAGATTATTAAACAATGATTTTAGCCTAACTTTATTTCTTCGGTAACTTTTTTGAAAATAAAATTTATATAGATTATCCTAATTTATTTTGATGAATGTTATAGTCTAAAAGTATTTAAATTCTGATAAGTAATTAAAAATCATACAAATACATAGGTATTTATAAAGTTTAAGTTAAATTTGATTTAAATTATTTTAGACGTTAGATTTAATTTTGGACCGCAAAATCTTATTTTTACTATTATATTTGATCTCATTTGATCATAGCCGTTAGATTATAAGTGAAAACCAAAAAAGTGTTTGAAATATAACAATTTGGTGGGTTCAGAATAATTTATACCAGACTTAAATCCTTGGGGAAATCTAGCCCAGAGATATATTTTATGCCCATGGCTTATTTTAGGCCATGGTTGGAGATGGTTTTTTTTTTTTTTTTTTTTTTTTTTTTTTTTGGTTTTGTTTGTGTTTGGGGGGGGTGTTTAAAGTTTATATTTTAAGTTTTATCCCATGGGTTGGAGATGGTCTTAGGATTTAGGTTCTATTTAGCCCAATTTCTAGTGATGTGTGTTACGCATGCATTAACACTTGAAGTCGTTCACTCGCGTACGAACAATTTTTTTTTTCTCAACTCGCGTATGGACTCTCAACTCATCATTATATGATGGCTTATTAGTTGAAATGCCCCCTGAAACTGCCATTGCATCTCAACTTACCCCTTGAAACTGACATTTTCAACTCTTTTGTTTCACTTTATCCACTTCCATTAATGGACTGTTAAATTTAAGGGTATTTTAATCATTTTAGTTGTTACACCTTTATTTACCTTTAGTGCCCACACTAAATAAGTCTCAATTTTATTTTTGACAACTCTAATTCAAACGCATAAATTTTGGGTATTTTTTAAAATAAATTATTTAATCAATAGAAAATTTTCAAGCAACAAAATCATTGTATCAACCAAAATAAGGCTTACATTTGTTTGTAGAGCCATTTCACTTGCAAGACATTCATGTATTGGCTCGAAACTTTGCAATTGAAAACTATTCATTACAACAAAATCATTATACCATTAAGCTATCCTATCCAAAATACTTCCCAAACAAAAAAAAAAAAAATCATTTAAAGCAAATGTGCACAGTTAAAAACAAAAAAATTCACATTGTTGAACATTGATTCCAGTAGGCATGAGCTTGTTCAAACTGTGCACATTTGCTTTAAATGATTTTTTTGGTTTGGGAAGTATTTAATTTGGATATGATAGCTTAATGATATAATGATTTTGTTGTAATGAATATTTTTCAATTGCAAAGTTTCGAGCCAATACATGGATGTCTTGCAAGTGAAATGACTTTACGAACAAATGTAACCTTTATTTTGGTTGATACAACGATTTTGTTGCTCGGAATTTTTCTATTGATTGAATAATTTATTTTTAAAAGTGCCCAAAATTTATGTTTTTGAATTAGAGTTGTCAAAAATAAAATTAAGACTTGTTTAGTGTGCAAGCTAGAGGTAAATAAATGTGTAAAAATTGAAATGTCTAAAATACCCTTAAGCTTAACAGTTCATTAATAGAAGTGGGTAAAGTGAGACAAAAGAGTTGAAAATGTCAGTTTCAAAGGGCAAAGTGAGACAAAACCGGTTTCAGGGGGTATACTAAGACTCATCGCAATTTCAAGGGGCATTTTGACTAATAAGCCTTGTATGATATATAGGTCAATCATATGCACTAAATAAATTATGAGGAATATTGTCACTAGCAATCATTCATGTACGTGCAAGTGATATGAATTCTATTTGGAGCTTAATCTTTAGAGGTTAGAGTTTAGGGTAATCGATTATCAGTCATGTGAGTTACGCATGCATTAGTGGCTGAGAGTCGTCCACCTGTGCATGAACTCTCCCAACTCATTATTGATATGTGTGTGTGTGTGTGTGTGTGTGAGATCAATCATATAGGGGTGTGAACATCTTCCATGACATGTACTCATTTCACATCGAAGAGAACCAAAATGGTGTAAATCAGATCACGCGGCCAGCTGGGACTAGGGTGATGGGATGAAGTTGAAAAAAAAAAAGCAAAGCTTTTTAATCATCATGGATGAGAAACCTTTCTATATAACTTTATTATTTCCATTCCATGTACAGACACAGTTGCATCGATCAAATTAACATCCCATCGATCAAAGTTCACATAAAATCAAAGTCAGAAAAAGCTTTTATAAATTATAATTATGATTTCGTTTCAATAATTTCAGCTGTGCAAAGAAAAGAAAAAACAAAGTTGAATGCGGCGAGATATCGAGTTGAAAATGGCCTATCCGTAACTGCAAATTATTTGCTGTGGGGCGGTGGCTGGCTCCTACCAACGTCACAACTAGCTAATCTAGCCTGGTCAAATACCAAAGACAGAATGAAAAAAAGGAGGATTGCAATGATGAATGTGATGGATGATTATAAGTGAAGGTGCCATTATTGGAGTATTGAGTAGGTAGTTGAACGTGCTCAAACGTTAAATAAAACTTCAATTCGTACGAGAAGTTATGACCCCGTATTCGTGCGGTCCCAGACATAATAAAACTCACATACTTATGTACCTCACTTCAGTTTCCACCCCCTCTTTCACCACACTCACTCTAGGTGCCACACCCAAGACCTTCTTCCTTTGCACGGAGACAAACTTGGCTACGTACACTAAAGGTACTATTTTGCATAAAGGTATTTTAAGTCAATCACACAATAAGTTTTAGAGTTTAACTAGTAGGGCTGAGGATTGTATTGAATGTATTTCAAGTCAATTGCGCAATATGGTTTAGAGTTAGCTAAACTAGAGATGCCACTATGCATGGCTCACGTGGCAATGAGTGAAAACTTGGAGAAAATTTTCGGTAGGGCTACGCTATTCGGTATAGTGGTGGGATCAGCTTAGAGTTGGGTGAGACCAAAATGGAAGGGAATTCCCGTACTTTTATGAGAGGTTCACTACTGATGAGGTGGCTGGAATGTCCATACCTAAGTTCTTCATGGAAACTTGAGATACTTAGAGCGGAAATGAAATCTGCGTTTCGATGGAGTTCTTTCTTGTAGGGAGAGGAACTTATTATAGCCAATTGAAAACACATTAATTCTATGCAAATGGGTTTGGTTGTCCCAAAGGACCACATGACCCTAGACCTGAAGGTTAAAACTTAAAGGGGGGCATCAAGATGTGCAAGTTTGCTTGGTATTTTACGTCATATGAACCTTTATTTGGAGGACCACATCTTGCTGGCCAACTATCTGTCTCGCCTTTGATCATGCATTTTAGCCATTTATCCTGCAATTTAGTACCCGATACCCTCATGCTTGAAAACTGAAAAATTGTTCTCAAGGTCCAGCATTGCTTTGCTAGTTATTTGACCAATGAAAAGGAAATAAAAAAACAAACTAAAAACGAAATATATACGTAAGCCAGGCTCAATGACGTGGATTGTTTTCGAGCGGAGGTGATGAAGAAGCTAGCCCCTTATTGACGGAGTATGTTGAGCTATGAATTGGATTTCCAAAGTGCATTGGGAGGGTTTGTGTGTACCGAATGCACCCTCCCAATGGCAATGCACGGACTTGCTTCACATAGCTTGTTTTAGGCCTAGTGGGTTAAGATTAAGGCTGTGGATTGATGCAAGTGCCCAAAACCTTATTTTGTGACGATAACTTGGGTAGGAATTTTCAATCCAAACTAATGAAAAATTCCAAAAGGTACAGCCCACTCTTGCCACCAGGTTGGGTTTCGACAAAAGCATAGGAATCTACATACAACTAGACCTATAAACATATAGTTTTATTGGGTCAGGGTCGACTTTAAACGGACTTGTTAAGCTAGTGGGTCATTCAAAATTTAAGTTAATGGATCACCCAAATCCAACCCATTCATAGCGTGAGCAATTTTTTTTTATTTTGTATTTCAATACAGATTACACATATTTTAATCACATGTAGAATAAATTTTGATTGTGGCATGTGCATTGGAGGCACATAAAAGTAAGGAAACTGGGGCTTACATCATCCAAGCTAAAGCGATGTCCTCCACCGAGCTATTGTCTTTCACCCTCTATTTTAGAATCCCACATTGGTGGGGGTAAAGAAAAGTAATGACTTTAAATAGGATTACCTCACTCTAACTAATACCGAGGTCTTTTTAAGTAAAACCCTACACCTGACGAATTGGGTAGGTGGTAAAGTTGGGGATAGTATTGGTGCCGTTAGAGTGGGGCAATCATATTTAAACCCATGATTTTCTTTTTCACCCATCGATGTGGGATTCCAACACTCCCCCTCACATGTAACCCTATTTAGAGGTTCACACTTGGAGATCCACATATTGGCAATTGAAACTCAAAGGTCGGCTCTATGTTAAGAGTCCAGACTTGTTTTCAATGGAACTCAGAGGCCGGCTCTTTGTTAAGAGTCTTGGCTTGTTTCCTTCTTGATGACAAGCACATTGGCTTGCACTGGCCCGAACCTTGGCTCTTATACCATGTTAGATTTTTGGATCGGTAGGCCTATAGGGCCCCACTCTAATGACAGCGATACTGTCCCCAACTTTATCACCTACCCAATCTGTCAGGTATGGGGTTTTACCACAAAAGGCCTCGGTATTAGTTAGAGTGGGGTAATCATATTTAAACTCATGGTTTTCTTTTCCACCCCCTAATGTGGGATTCCAACATTCCCCCTCACGTGTAAATTTATTGGTTCACACATGGAGATCCACACATCGACAATTGAAACTCAGAGGTTGGCTCTATGTTAAGAGTCCAGACTTGCTTTCAATGGAACTCAGAAAAAATGAAGTTTAAAGAAGTTGTTGACAGTAAATCCCACGAAGGGTAATCCCATGTTAGAGTAGGTAAATCCTACGAAGGTAATCCTACATAGATGTTGATTTTCTGTTGTTGAAATTTGTGAAGGCTGATGCCATTGTTAAGAGGTTAGGCTACTTCTTATATTGCCAATTGGTTTTATGGTGGAACCTCAACTTTCTTCATGGTATGGAGTCAACCTCTGAGTTTCAATTGCTGATGTGCGGATCTCCACGTTTGAACCGCTACATAGGGTAACACGTGAGGGGGAGTGTTAGAATCCCACATCGGTAGGGGTAAAAGAAAAACAATGACTTTAAATAGGACTACCCCACTCTAACTAATACTGAGGCCTTTTGTGATAAAACCCCACACCTGATAGATTGGGCAGATGGTAAAGTTGGGGACAATATCGTTGTTGTTAAAGGGGGCAATCATAGTTAAACCCATGGTTTTCTTTTTCACCTACCGATGTGGGATTCCAACACTCTCGACATCAGTGATAGAGTGACTGTAGTTTGCGGCGTTCAGAAGAGGACGAGAGGAGTGATAGTGTGACTGCGTGAGTTTGAGATTTGTATGCAATCGAGTCGAAGGAGAAGAGTGCGGCCTGATTAGGTTTTTCTTTTTTGAAATTACATAACTATCCTCAATTAACTGGTGCTAACAAAGGTTAATGGTATGTGGATGGAACCAAAATGACCCTTGAAATAATGGATGATTAACGGGTCCATTCGTTAAAGACTCGACCACTCATCCAAACGCTAATTTTTAATGAATGAGTTGGATCGGATTAAAAGATTGGACCTAAAATGTCACCCTTATATACAACAATACTAGTATGGCAATCGGATACTACGAGTTACGAATACATATTTGAACACTTTAAATTCATGAGATAAATGCTTTTTTGTGAGCATTTATCTCATTAGTTTTGAGAGTTTAGTCCAATAGGACTTGAAGGATAAAGAACGACTTATTTATTGAATCAATTTGAACTGAAACACTTCATTAAATTTTGAAGTAAACAATATATAATACGAATAAAACTTAGAATTTGTCATCTTAAGGGAGTGAATTCGATTGAGATAACTTGGATTCAATTCTAATCTTGTTTAACCTTAACCACTAAACAATCCCTAAGATAAGATTAGTTTATTACATAACCAGAATTGGTAATTACAATGCAAGTGAGATTTGGCCCCTTTTTGGATGTAATACTAAATGCTAAAAAAGGTCATGGCAATAGTAAAAGGCGGGAGCTGACCATCGTCAAAGCTAAATCTGGCGAACGCACTAGAGTTGAGGGTCCGCTTGTCGTTTAGGCATGATGGGACCCACACTTTGACGCCGCCGACGACGACGACGACCACCACCGCCAACATTTGAGGCCTTGGCGTCGTAGACTGCTCTCGTCGCTAATGGCACTCCGCTACCTCTCCTGGGCCTGCACCTTCCGATCCGCCATCTTCCTCTTCCTCCTCGCCGCCGTCGTCACCGCCTGCGTCACCCTCCCCATCGAACAGGCACCCTCTCTCTCTATAATATAATATATCTATCTGTGTGTATACATTCTCAGTGTGTTGTTTTGCCAATGCTAACGTTTTTTGCTTAATCTGTAATATCTGGATTTTGGGTGGAGCTTAATGCAGGATTTAAGTTGGATTTTTGGTTAAAGTTTGTAAATTTATTTAACTATGAGCTAAACCCATGTTTGATTTGCTTATTAATCCAGTTTTTGAAGGACTTCTTGATATGGGTTAAGCAGGATCTTGGCCCCTGGGGTCCACTTGTGCTGTAAGTTTCATCTCACTTAGCCTTAAGTATCTTTTTTTGCATTCATTCATCAATGATGTATATGTATATGTGTATGTAAGAGCATATTCAAGTAGTACATTCCTCCATCTGATTTCACTATATCATCTGTCTCATATTTTGTTTGGGAAATTGCAGGGCTGTTGCATACATTCCTCTCACAGTCCTTTCTGTTCCAGCTTCTGTGCTTACAGTAAGCCAAAGTTTCCGATTTCCGGTTGCTTTAATTGTCATCTAAAACTAGCTTCAAACTTGTAATTATTGGTGAAGATCTGTAGCTTGTCCAAATTTTGACTATTAATGCGTTATCTAGTGCACGTTTATAGTGGGTCTAACTGTAGGACTTATCTTAGTCTTGACATTTTGGTGTTAATTAACCCCTTTTGTTGAAAAATGAGGGATCCCTTTTGTGATTGACTTGTTTTTCTGTTGCCAGCTTGGTGGAGGTTATCTTTTTGGATTGCCCATTGGATTCGTTGCCGACTCTGTTGGTGCAACATTAGGTGCCACAGCGTCATTTTTTCTTGGAAGAACAGTGAGTCTCTGAAGACATTGATTTTCTCGGTTCTTCTGTATGTGTGCTTGGATGTGTATGCTTTTGTCATTGTAAGCTAAACAGTGGATTTGACCAATGATGTTGATAGTATATTGTCATTAACAGCTTTGTACACTTACGCTTATCTTAACTTTTTATCTTCGTGCAGATTGGAAGATCTTATGTCACTTCCAAACTCAAGAATTATCCAAAGTTTCAAGCTGTTTCCATTGCAATTCACAGATCGGGTTTTAAGGCATATAATTTCTGAACCTTTTGTTTTTGGACATAGTATGCCAGGATGTGATATATTGTGTGGTTGGAAAGAAGATAAATTCTTGCAGTCACAGTGACCAATACCATCAACATATTCATAGACATATTGTTACTATTTCTGATAAGTAAAATAATATTTTAGAATCCAGCAGGGCCATATCCGTAGCACGGAATAATTAACCGAGGGTGATGAAACCGTACACATATGATCATGTGAGAGTTCATGTGAACTTAGAAACCCCTGCATATATAGAGTAGTTTTTCAAGGAGAAAATTCCCCCCTTGCAATTTTGAGACCTAAGTAGTGTTAACTTCCTTAGGACAAAGTTTAAAGTGATGTGAGCCAATGTGGTGTAAGCGGGTTTTGCTCTGGCTTACATTTTTATTGCAGTGGTAGTAAATTAAAATTCTATTGGTCGATGCATCTGTTACCTTATATATAAACAGTTATAAAAATTTGATTTGAGCTTCTATTCTTGCTTCTGTGGTTTTCATTCTTCTCCACGAAATTCCTGATCTTTCGTTTCCTACTTTTGGTGTTTGCCCAACAGATAGTTCTGCTACTTCGGCTTGCTCCTTTGCTTCCATTTAACGTGCTGAACTACCTCCTCTCGGTGACTCCTGTTAACGTAGGGGACTATGTACTGGCATCTTGGTTGGGGATGATGGTATTCACTTTCTTTATTTACATTCTGATTTAGCCATAAAGATCATTTTTTATCGGAGCTCATAATTTGCTGATCTATCTAAATTTTAAATCCGAAAAGTTCAGCGCCTATGTCTCATTGGTGTTAGAAACACAATTCTATCAGAGAGTACCTATAAGTAACCCTTTCATTCTAGTGATGAAATCTGGTCTGCCCTTATATTTCAGCCCATCACATTTGCACTGGTGTATGTTGGTACAACACTTAAGGATCTTTCAGACGTTACAGACGGGTGGAATGGGGTTTCAACCACTCACTGGGTAAGTGCTGCATGACCGTTAGAGCTTTAAAATTTTAACAGGAGTGCAACAGACTCAAGGTTTCTCATCTGTATGGAATGCTACGTGACTACTGCATCCCTTCCTTCTTCAATTGATATCAATATCGGCTTGTGGTTGCAGGTGTTTATAGCGCTAGGTTTTGGAATATCCGGTGAGTTTTTTTCTTTATCTTGAATCGTGATATAGATATTTTTCTTGTGGTTAACATGATATCTCATTCTTTGACCGGTAAATTTTGTCTGAGAATGAGATCATTTCGTTTCCTTTTGAGCATTTGCTAAGTTTCGAGTTCCTTCGTGTTACTTGCACAGTGATTCTAATGGTTTGCATTACTAAAGTTGCAAAGGCTTCTTTGGACAAAGCAGTGGCTGAAAATGCTGAAATAGAAGGCATCTTGTCACCTTCAATGCTATCCATCGGAGCAGATTCGTCCTTGGATCTTCGGAAGCCTCTCATAGTCCGGATAGACTCAGACCGGTTAAGATAGTATCACGAAAAGAAACTGCAAATTCAATGTAAATGTTTTTCGTCATTTACGTATAGATGTGATATTTTTGCTTAGGATTGAAGTGTAAACGTGCAAAGGAGAAGAAGTTTTTCTTCTCTAGCATTCGTGTACAGCACTTCCAATGTACAGCACCCGAAATGATTTGTTTTCAAATCAATCGCGTTCTTTCGCATTCATCATATCTTCCGTGACGAGAAATCCCCAAAAGTGAATTTGTTAGAAGATTTACTAGTTGCTACACAGAAAGAACAAGATTCTCCAAGCTTGCCAAACTCGTCGCAATTTGCAAGTGTTCACATCGAGAATCTTGTGCGGCAAGTCACAATTCATATTTTGATGAAATCTCATGAAATTCAACAAAAGAGCAACATTAAACATGATATTTATGTAGTGTGCAAAGTATCTAACTCAAGCTGAATCTTCGGAGTATTCCATTGGCAGCAGCACAAGACCTTTCTTCTCCAACAGCTCGCTTGCTGCCAGTACATCTACCTCCAGTAATTTTCCGATCATTTCTTCGAGAGGTTCATTCAGCATCTGCTGGTGGCAAAAGTAGTGACCATATCCCTGAGAAACATAAAAAGATCCATCATATAAATCTCCCTTGCATAATGTGAAGGACGATGATTTTGCCTAACTCAGAGCGTAGAATAGATGAATTTACCTCGTGGAAAATGATAGGTTCAGCAATCGGTTCACCTCCCAATCTGCTTCTACTTAAATCCTGCAAAGATGAGTAATATAAATATCATTATTTGTAAAAAGAAGAAAAAAAACTGCCATAGAATCATGGCTTGTTCCTGTAAGAACAATGACAATCCGAATACAATCTGCTGATGACGCCACACTGCAGTTTGTATTTTTGAGAAGGTGCTCATTCATGTAAAAATCATGCAAACCTGTAGAGTTGCAGTGTAAAGAGACAGATTTACCTTTATCTGAAGCTTCAAAAACTTGATTTGGTCAATTACATCATCCAGTACACATACTTGACGACCCTACACATTCAAAAGTAATCAGTCATATAGATGGACATCTCAACGCATTCTACGCAAAAAATAGGTTTGCCTAATAGTAGCATTGAATCCGAGGCCATATATAAGACATGATTAAATTTGTAATCCTACTCTGTAAAGCCTACATTTGATCTTTATGATAAGCATGATATGTCGGTGAATGTATTACATTTACATGTGAAACTCTAATTATGTTTATATGGACATCTAGTACATGAGCACCTGCATACTTTCTTTTCTTCACATACATACCTCTGCAGGTTCTGGAAGCAGTTCTTGCAATGCACTGAGCCTTTCACCGATTCGCATCCTGCGATTCTGAATAAATAAGAAACCAGTTAAAGAAACTAATGTATCTCCAACACAATGTTTAACAAAATCCATTTACATTAATTTACAAACATTATGACTTGAGGTGAACAGAACAGGTAATGGTGATGTCTGCTATCTGAATGGAAAATCACACGATTGTTAGACAGTTCAGTTTATCTACTCAAAGCACTAGGCTTACATATTCAGATGAAAAAGTTCTCTGCTTCGAAACACTGTGATGTGGCTGGGAAGGATAACCAGGTGTGTCAATTGTTGCTCTTGGATCAACTTGAGAAACACTATCATAGCTATCCCAATTTGGATTATCTGTCCTTGAAGTATGATACTGCAGAAAGTACATTGCACAGCATTATCATGATAAAGTTCTCAAAAGAGAGAGAAAAAAAAACCGCTATCATTGAACTGATTGCTCGAGGCAAGCGCAGCTGAATGTGATATCAAAGAAAGCTATTACAATTCACTTAACCTGCACAGGAAGCTGATGTTGAGTATTCACTAGTTCTTCATTATGTAGGCTCAGAAGTTTCATCTGTCAAAAAAAATTCAATTATAAGAACCAAAACGAGGAATTGGGTGAGAAAAACCAATTATAGAGTCAACCAGACAGGGAAGTTCCAACCATAAGCTTTATCCTTCGAAGAAAGAAAGGAAGAGCTTCAAACCAAAGAAATTTTCGATTTCTCATCTTAATTTCAACGGATAAATGTAACGTTGCATTTCCAAGACTATTACCTTTGAAGAGTCCATGTCCCTAGAGAAATCAGTTGATTTAGAACCACAAGCATTGCCCAGACCACTGTACAACCCATCTCGTTGGAATTCAGAGACCCTGCCAACATCATGTATGCTAGCAACAGATGAAGGAATGCTTTCCCACATATCTTCACAAGGAGACCTTGGGACAAATGCTGAACTCTCAGCTAGACACTCAACGTAATTGTGGGATGGCTTTTCGGGTTGAATCCACCAAGGTAAAGAAAGAACATCAGTTTGGTCTGCAGTCCTTCCAGCCTCCATCATAATCTGTTGGTTCAGATCGTATCCCAGTGCCTCGGAGACATCATCCACAGCATTCCCACGGAAACCCAATGACAGCATTTGTATGGGGTTGGTGAGGCTACTCTGCCCTTCCATATCAACCCGATGCAAAGGATCTTCGATCTTAACTAACCACGAGCGAAGAAACGGCATAACTACCAATACCAACCCAAATCATATGTTCATGAAAATTTCAAGCTCTGTATGCTGTAAGTTATTTAAACCAAACAAATTAACAAGAAAGGTGAAATGAGGTAAAGCTGTGGATTTCTACTACCACTAGAACAATGTCAATAAACCCAGTTGGAAATTTGGAAGCTAGTAAGCAAATCCAAACAATATAGTGGCAAAAAAATCCTAATTAAGATGTAACTAAGAACCCATTTTTCATGCTAACCCAAAAATTAACTTGCTAATCAATTACGAACCCACAAAAAATCTTCAACCAGAGATCACAAACAAGCATAACCATTCAACAAAAACTGCTACTACGAAAAACTGGTAATTACCGAAACAATGAAAAATTAAGAAAGATGTAAGAATTAATGGCAGAATCGTGGTGGGAAAATGGGAAGAAGTGAAATGGGTTGGCTTATGATTTAATTATGTTACCTTCTTGTGACGAGCGGAAGCACGAGAGCGGCTTGCGGTTCCGGCGGAGAGGGGGGAGGGGGAGCTTTGGAGTTTAGGGATTTTCAGCGGAGAGAAGAAGAGATGGCAGCGAGGTGATGGCGCGCTTTTGCCTCCATTGTGTTTGGCGTGGGCAGCAGAGCGGTACGTACAAACAGAGAGATGAAATTAAGCTTTGTCAGAGGAGTGCAGGCCAGATGAGGCCTTTAGCGCGGATTTATTTAAAGGAAAACTAATAAAAAAAAGTTTAAAAATTTTGAGTTTTAACGATAAAGATAAAATAAATGATAAAGTGAATAATATTATGATTGACTTTTTAGTGTAAAAATGTGATTTTTCGTTAAAGTAAACAGTAACGAGAGCTTTTCGTTAAAATTCTCTTTATTTAAAAGTGCTACTAGGTTGTTAAAATAGTTGGAAAAGTGATTCTGGGTTGTAAAAGCACTTGGATTTTTATTAAAAAGTTGGGCGTGTTTCTAGGAGCAACTCCACTTCTAAAAAATAAGCTGGCCTAAAGTCCATTTAATCCACTTAAATGAATGATAATTGACTCCAATTAACAGTAATTAACTAAGTGCATCTCCATCCCTAAAAAATGAGCTGGGCAAGAGTCTAGTCAATTCGTATTAAAATATTATTAAATTTTTATAAAATAATAAAAAAATAATTTTAATTTTAATTTCAAATATAATTTTTAACCAATCTTGTCATGTCATGTGTCATTATTTATGTGAAAGATAGTTAGGTACTTATATATAAAACAAAAAAATCTTTTAATTTTGTTTTTGTATTTTTGAATAATTTTTTATTAAGTTAATTAATTTGGACCGTTGGATTTCAAAAAAATGAAATCCAACAGCCCAAAAGTGGACACGTGGCCCACAGTAAGATTCTGACTTTTTTTTTGTTAATGTTGGAAAGCGTGCGTGTATCCCACGTGCCACCGGCAAAAAAAAAGAAATTCACATGGCTGACATCAGTTTGGCGTCATGTAGGTCGATCTCTTGCTTAGTCCATAGTGTGTTGGGCTCAAAGTTGGCTTCCACTTTGGGTCAAAAAGCATCTCCAAACGATCCCCAACTTAGGTTAACTTCTCTAAGTTTAATGTGATAATGTGACATTTCAATAAAATGATTTTCCTGAACTGGACTGGTATTGCTAATTTTTTGATTTTGTAACCGATGTATGAAGTAGAATATGCATTTTTAATCAAGCTTGAAAATTTGATTGCTCTTTTGCAGGTTGAGCTTTGTGGTCATGCAACATTAGCAGCTGCATACACTCTTTCAACTCTGGCTTGATAAAGTCCGACATTGTTGAGTTTGCAACATTTGCAGAGTAACATTCTCTGAATGTTTCTGATTGAAATTCTTAGCTTCTCTTCTTGTTCTTCTTGCCTGAGAGTTCTCCATTTCATTCCCAATCGCTAACACTTTTCTGTTGAACTGAATTTTCCTGCCGACCCATCTAATCAATTCAAATCCGGTGATGTTTCGGTGATCTCCAAGGCTTTGGGTGGTGCTTCTATGGTTGAAATAAGGAGGACAACCGTCACAGATGATTTACTTGTAATTAGTCGTACAATCCTTCCACAAACCTACATTTTCAATTACGTATTATGCTTTCGATCGATAGAAGCATATAAAACAACGGACAGCTTTTTATTACATTGGATTGCCTGTGCACTCTAGCATGTACTCCTAAGTGATACTGGTTTCATTTTTGAAGGTTGTGCTTCCATCAGCACAAGCTGTCATAGATTTACAGCCGTAGTTTGAATTTATTAAATTTGAGCAAATTAGTTTGGTGTGCCTTGATTTTTCATTTCAAAATTTGTATCCCGAATTCTTCATATTGGTTGAAAGGTGCTACTGCTGCTCAACTGTCATCTCAGCTGAGCTGCTGAACTCCCTCTCTCTCTCTCTCTCTCTCTCTCTAAAATGTGGTTTTCTGTTCGGCATATTTGATGTCATAATCATATGCTCAATTGTTTAATCACCACAAGGTTATTGATTTTGAGAAATTTTCAATGTGCCGAGAACACGGCTACTGTGACAAGTGATCACAAGAGTCCTATTTCGTTGAATTGAATTATCGTCTCCTCCCCCCCCCCCCCCCCAAAACATTTCTGATTCCATATTATGCTTTTGATCATTTTCTATTTTATTGTCTTGTCAATGCAGTCTAGCGTGTACTCTTAAGTGATGCTTGTGTTATTTTCAAAGGTTGTGCTTCCATTATCAAAAGCGGCAGATTTACAGCCGCAGTTTGATGAAACCAGAAATTTCCGGGGTCCAGGGGAGTGATTGCAAGGGGGATTGCTTCTCCAGAGTCCGGATATGATTGCCCTAAACACAGAATTAATGAAGTAGTAAGCAGCCTCCTTTCATTCTATGAGCAAGTTTCTTTCAAGTTCATGATATTGGGAACTAAGAATTGGTTTCAAAAGTATTTCACCAAAAGTATTTTCAATCATTTTAAAAGCACTTTCAAACGAGCCCATAATTGGTATAAATCTGAATGCTGCTACTTCTTGGGATCCCCTTTTTGGGAGCTCACATTGTGCCTTAGCGTCATACTGGTGCAAAAAACTCCGAAAATTCGAGTTGGATACATGGTACTCTATCTCTCTGTTCTTTTCATGATCTTCCTACCTTATATCTTGATACATTATTGTTTACTTTCAGGCATCGCGTCGAGGGGGAGTAGTACGCATGCATCTAGATGAGCAGAATCAAAGATGCGAGGGAAAGCTGTTACTGTCATGGAAGGAACTGTTTTAGCTTGAAATTGGAGTGAATTTCATTGTGCTAAATATAAATATTTGAATAAATTACTCAATTAGCGTGGAACAGAAACATTATCTTTGAATAAATTAATTAGGTGGTCCTAAGCGGGGGTCAGCGGAATTTGTAAAACAGTGAATACCAATGATGATGGTGGTAGACGACTAGACGTGCATGGCCTACAAAATTTTTCACAAGTTGCATGTGTTTTACACGTTTTTTTTTTTTTTTTTTTTTCCGAATCTTGATTGCTTTTCCTTTAATAATAGAAAGCGGGAGAAACAATGACTTGGCAAAAGTGATGCGACAATGATAGGGTGGGATACGTTGGATTATTTACATGCAAATCATAATACAATATGTACGCAAAAATAACGCATTACAATCACATGTTCACAACAAAAGTTATCTGCACAACGTGAGACGGTAATTTGTAGCGAAAGTCGAAAAACATACTCGACCAAGAAGACATAAGATATGTTTCTTGACAAGTTGTCGGCAGGTGGGATCTTGTCGAGTCACTCTCTTACTTAAACTCTTTCTGGAGTGCTGCATAATCATTTCAATCTTCCTTCCAATGGCGAAGAAACCAGCCAAGTATTATGTGGTACGCTTTCGTTATCTCTTTTATGTTTGTGACTTCCCTGCATGGCGGTATCCCCACTCAATCACGCACTGCAATGTGGACGTGATTGACTTGGGGTATCGCGGAAGTATCTCTTGCATGTAAGGCGTGCAAGTAGTGTATGAGCTGACTGGTGAAATGGCTGTGTAGGTGGACGCGTTCACGGACTCGGCTTTCAAGGGGAACCCAGCAGCGGTTTGCTTGCTGGAGGAAGATAGAGACGACCAGTGGCTGCAAGCTGTGGCCTTCGAGTTCAATCTCTCCCAGACTTGTTACTTGACTCGAATCGATGACTCTCACTCAGCTCCTCGGTTCGGTCTCAGATGGTTCTCGCCTACTAATGAGGTCTGATCATCTCAATCACCTCTGTTTAGTGTTTCCTTTCATATGATCAAATAATTGATCTTTATAGTTCCTCTGGTTTCAAGTTCGTAATTTGGGTTCATAGTAGCAAAGTTTGAAATATAAAACCCACGCCAAAATTCGGAGTGTCAAGATCTTCAGCAGCCAAGAATTCAGTTAAAATGGTTCTTTTTAGGATTTCATGTGCGTAACTTTACTTAAAAAACAAACTTTATTTCCACTCGGGTATCTAAATCAGATTCCCTTTTCACAGGTTGAGCTTTGCGGTCATGGAACATTAGCTTCTTCACACACTCTCTTTAAGTCCGGTTTGATAAGTTCCGACATTATTGAGTTTTCGACTCTGTCCGGAATTTTAACAGCTAAGAAGGTTCCAGATGTTAAGACAGCCAATGGTGAAGCACAGGAGTCGTCCTATTTCATTGAACTGAACTTTCCTGCCGCCCCGTCTAATGAATTCAACTCTGATGAGGTTTCGGTTATCTCCAAGGCCTTGAACAGTGCTTGTATTATTGATATGAGGAGGGCAACTGTCACAGATGATCTACTTGTAAGTCATGCAATCCCTTTAGGAACCTTCATTTTTGGTTCCATATATCATTTCAATCGATATAAGCCTATAACTTTTCCTTTCTGATGGTTCTGTTTCATTCTTGTTTCATTTTCCGCAAGGTTGTGCTTCCATCAGCAAAAGCGGTTGCAGATTTACAGCCACAGCCTGATGCAATAAAAAAATGTCCGGGGTCTAGGGGAGTGCTTGCAACAGCGATTGCTCCTCCAGAGTCCGGTTATGATTTTTACAGTAGATTCTTTGCCCCTAAACACGGTGTTAATGAGGTATGCTGCTTGCTCACTTATCAGTTTTCGGTTTTGTGAACTCAAGAACTACAGTTGATAAAAATCTGAATGCTGCTTCTTGTTTATGTCAGGATCCTGTTTGCGGGAGCGCACATTGTGTCTTAGCATCATACTGGTGCAAAAAACTCGGAAAATCTGATGTTGTTGGATACGTGGTAATCCCTATCCCTCTCTTTCCCTATCTTCGTTCTGATCATAAGCTTACAAGCCCGTATGTTGATACATTATTGCTTATTTTTAGGCATCGCGTCGAGGAGGAGTAGTAAGCATTCATCTAGACGAGCAGAATCAAAGGGTGCTGCTGCGAGGGAAAGCGGTTACTGTCATGGAAGGAACTGTTTTAGTTTGAAGTTAGAGTTAGTTTCATTGTGCAAGTACAAATATTTGAACTAAATGACTCGGTTTGTGAGAAAAATAAAACCATTGTATTTCGAATAGATTTCAAATTCGATCTGTTGTGTTTGGTAATCCTGCATGTTTCTTTAAAAAATCTGTGTTCTGATTTAAGATAAGTTGGTGAGACTTTGGACTTGGTTCCAAACGAACAAAATCAAGCAAGCTGTATGTGAAACTTTCTATTTCAAGGTGTAGTTCCTTCAATTTTTCGATGTGTTTGAATCACAGTCACGTGGTGTTACTACTCCGCTCAAATAAAAACATGCGGATTTGTTTTTTTTATTAATATACCTTAGAATTGAGACAAATTAACCTTGCCGTCCATCCTTATTATAATATATATAATAATACATCATGTGGCATGTGTGACTTATCAACCATGTCATCAAATGTATAATTTGGATGAACTAAACTCGTATTATTGTATTTCAAAGCAAACAATCTTCGGATATGAGCAGTTGGTCTGAGTTGGAGGATGTCCCATGTTCGAGAGTCACATGGATACATAACGCTATATATTTGTAAGAAGTTTGGTACTAAATAGTGAATGAGTTAATCGTCATTTGCAAAAGTATTTTTGTAAATATCGTGAATATAATTTAACTAAATTTAGCCATTTACTTGGACTTCTAAGTTACTATTAATATGGAAATGTTTTGGTCCAATTCGTGGGATTCAAATCCCTCCATCTTCGCATGCGTCTGATATTCTATTGGATGGGAAACTTACACTTTTCGGGTGCAAAACTCTCATTCTTTTAAATTATTATAATCGTTTCAAATCCCTCTTCCCTTAGTAATAATTTTTTTTTTTTTTAATCCCTCCCTCTTCATGCAGAGATATCTTATGCACATAAATCCTTGAGATTCTACAAGATACATGTCCTCGTACTCTCTTTTAATATTCACTTTCACAAAATATTTTCTGCATGCTAGAAAATCATTAATTCATTCAATCAAGAAAATTAAAAATAATTTAAGACAAAGGATCCTCTGTATGTATATAAATACCCTTCTCTCATTTCCTTTGAACTGCAAGAAATCTCAGCCATCTGATCATTCTTGATTCCAGGGATAATACTACAAAGCCACCATCAATGGTCCAGAATCACATTCCTCAGGTACTTACCAATTCCTACCAATTGAAAACTAATTTGTTTGTATACATTTTGCCAATTCGTATGATCCTCCTATCCTCGCAAAAAAGATTGTTTTGTTGTCTTGGTATCCCTTTTTTTTTTTTTTTTTTTTTTTAATATTTTGCAGCATTAATTTATTTAAACTGTATCATTGCAGACTGAGATTACAAAAATAAACATAGAATGTCCCAAATCTCAAAAGAAGCTCAAGAGATTCCTCTCAAATCTTCAGGGTATTTTTTTTTTATTTTGTTATAATTTTTTATTTTTTATGAACTAATTCGGGGTACTAACATATTTCGTGTTTTATTTATCTTTTTTATGATCATATTTTTCACTAGGAAACTATTCTGTTAAGTTCGATAAAAAATCTGGAAGATTAACTGTTGAATCCACGGTAGACAAGAACATGAACGAGGCAGTAGGGCATGCTAGGTTTTCTGCAGGGCTCACGTGTGAGGATAATACTCTACCGCCACCCGACAGCAGTTTCTTGCAACCCAAGGCAACCGGTAGCCACATGTCGGACGGAGCACAAGATCAAGGGCTTGAGATCATAAGATGGGCTCAAATGGGGGAGCTCCAAAAACTTCCCAACATCCAAAGGCTACAGAAGTTGGAGCTTACTCAATCCGGAAGCAATCAAAGAATTAAGCTCACATTCTTCGACGAAAAGCCTGAACCTCAACCTCAGCCTCAGCCTCAACCTCAACCACAACCCCAACCCCAAGCTCATGCTGGGGTTAATGTCATTAATGTCAAGGAAGACGAGCAAAATGAGCCCCATGGCGGAGGAAGCGGCGCCAATAGCAGGCCCGCGAACAAAGTTTGCGGAGATCATGAAGGTGGCGAAGGAAGAAGCTGCACAAGTTCTGATGGTGGTAGCCCCCACAACTTATTTGAGTTTCAGTACGTTCATACTCCTCCTGAGGCAGCAGGCAATAATAATAATATTAATAATAATCATGTGTCGCATGGTACTTATTTGCCTCCTACGTACCCTGACCGCATGACAGTCCGACACGCTGCGGTCCGGTGTGAGGAGGCCATTGCAAGCAGATGCACCATCTTGTGATGGATCCCGGCCAACAATCTCTTTCCATTGCCAAATGCCATATGACTGTTCATTGACTTGTGTCTATGCTTATCCGATTATTTAACAGCGAAATAAAGACTATCTAGATAGGTAGCTAGAGGTGTAATTTTTGTGATTTTTTCAGTCTCTTATTTATTTTTAAGATTTCACAAATATTCACTAAAATCAATCTATGTGTTATTATATTATTAAATGTTGTTACTTTACTTGCTAATTACGACATGAAACATGAACGCGACACAAATCTTACATGAACATAATTGGGTAAACATGAATGTGACTCACTGCTACCCCTTCCAATAAAAAAGCTCCTTTTATTGTGGCATTTAACTTGCTTTAAGTTAGTGAGTAGGTATATTATTTGGCATTAACTGTATACATTTGCTAAATTATAAAATACTTTTTAACAAACAAAAAGGAAGAGCTTAAACTTTCGAATCATGGCAGATTATGTTTTATCGTAATTGCAATAAACTGTCATGATTTTTAACAAAAAAAACATGCAACAAAGTGCATAATCATTATTGTTTACTGTAATTGTGATAAAGAGCATTCTGCCATAATTAGAAAGTTTGAGCATCTTACCCTTCTTTTGTTAGAAAGCATCTAATAATTTAGCAAATGGATACAGTTAATGCCAAATATACCTACTCACTAACATAAAGCAAGTTAAATGCCACAATAAAAGGAGTTTTTTTTTATTGGGAGGGGCAGCAATGAGTCACATTCATGTTTACCCAATTATTTTCATGTTAGATTTGTGTCGCATTCATGTTTCATGCCGTATTTATGTCAATCTACACGTTTCTTAGCAAGTAAAGGCTTGAGAATAATAAAGGTACTCATGCATTAAACAACATTTCTAAAAACACCATCTCCATTTATGTGGAAGATTTGTGCTCGGAATATGAAGTGGTATGCATATGTTAATATACAAGTGAATGAATGTACTTTTTTTTTTTTAAGTATCTCTCCACTTGTATGAAACATAAAGCATATGTGTTTATATTCCCGACACATTGAAAAATCTCTCTATACATGGGGTGCTCTATTCTTAGTTACATATTAAGCCACCGAGTGACTTGAGGAACTCGAGCAATCTCCAAAACATTTTCTTTTTATGTTTAGTCACCATATATGGGGTGTGCTATCCACACACTCATTTACTTTTCACACACCTCTTCTTAATTTCTGTCTTTTGATCTTTTTTAATTCAGTCGATCTGACGTTTACAAATTAAGAGAGTGTATAAGAAATAAAAAGGGGTGTGTGAATAGCACACCCCTTTCCATATATATATTTAGTTTGTATCCATTTCCAGTTGATAATTTGGTTTTCTCAATCCCACGTTGTACTCGCTTTGCCTTGCATATAGGTAATTGCATTACGTGGTTTGAAGAGTATCATGATTTAGATCTAATGATTTACTCGAGAATTGTAATACTTAAGTTTAAGTTATTTTTAGAAGGAAATATTTTTTAGGGTGACCGCGAGCGTTTTATCAGTGGTTTTGGTTCATTTACTCGCTTTGAGATGAGAAAAATGACCTAGCATTGTAAGCAACTGAACCGTAAAGTAGTTTAGCTCGCTTAAATTTTCCCTATGGAAGTTAGGTCATTGGTTTTTCGATTTGTATTAGATTGTTGGTTTTTTTAACAACTTAATACATATAGCTATCGCTCTTTTCTCACCAAAAAAACAAAATTGGAGTCAATAAGTAAAGTTTCATGATCCACAACAAATATTTAGCATAGTTAAAACCCGAATATATATCTCAAAAAGACAATTATCACTAATTGGAACAGTTAATTCATTCTTCTACATGGTCTTTATGTCTCTTCCTTCTACTTAGCTATGGAATTAATAAGCTCACTGCTAGAAAGTAATTAAGTGGTAGCTGCTCTCTCTTCATGATGTCAAGGGAACTCGACGTCTTGCTGCAGCGACATGAAGCCTACAAAATATATATATTGACGAACAGAAAATTACACCACTATAAAATTAGCTTAATGTGTCGGTGAGTGGTGGCGGTTTAATACAATATATTGTTAGATAAGATATTTCCAACATGTGATTTAGGTATCGTCGGATAACAATGCAGTACACTGTCAATGAATGCCAGATATAACTGACACTAACTTATTATTATATCCAACAAGAAAAGTGCAATGGCCAAATTCCCGCCTTTAATATTTTTAACCAATCGTGGCAGATATAAGGTGAATAATGTCCAACGTCCAATTTTTTTAAGAACGCCAAGAATGGCTTGTTATGTAGCAGTGTTAGTTAATGATGTCCAATGTTCACAAAAAAAAAAAAAAAAAAAAAAAAAAAAAAAAAACATATTTAAACGAACAAAATAAGATAAAAATTAATGTTAATTAGACATGCAAAACTTTCTCTAATACATTTGATTCCACATTAACTATATTAATGCGGTAGTTATATGCTTGTACGTACCAAAATATATTTCTAAAAAATGTTGGACATCTGAGCAGATTGCAAGGGCTGTGGCCAGACTGAAAACGACACTGCCTCCTCACGTTTGGGTATCATTGGTTGATGAATGTGAGTCAAATCCTTACCCCATGAGCTAATTAGGGTTTGTGGTGGGTTAATAATACTGCCAACATGGATATTATTATTTTCAGCACACCTCTCAAATCCCATCAAATTAGCAGCAAGGTTGTCCGCTGCCTCAAAATATGAGCTCTGTGCTAAAGAGTCCATCAATGGAGGATTATAATTAT